TTAAAACTACGTCTTGTGCTTTTGAAACAAGCTTTAATATTTTCATATACTTATAGTCTGTTAACCCTTTCAAAAAAAAAATACAAAATACTGAACTCCAAAGATCGAAGAGAATTTAACAAAGATATTGATATCTCCTTTTACACGCTACATAAACAGCAGAATTAATTGCGCTCGAATTATAGCATTTTGGTTTCGTGCCCAAGTCTTAGCGATTTCAGTCGCTCTTGCTTTGGTTGAATTTGATCCCCTGCAGGAGTATTCTGTTCGATTAAACCTTCAGGGCCTAAAGCAGTGGGAAAGGCTGATAAACCTTTACTAATACACGTAGTTCGGTTCCGTTGCCCACACCTGCTAAAAGTTGTGCGGCAAGCAGCTCTTAGCGCTTGTCGATACTGCGGTATTCTCCACGCGTATAGAAACGGATTTACAGCGCAGCTAACGCACAACATCGACATTGATAGAGCTCTTGTTGTTTCAAAAGGCAGCCCATCACACACATTGCTTTGTTCCTCGAGACACCGCTCCTCCAAGTTAGTAACAATTACGTAGGGCGTAAGTGATATAAACAACACGACTGTGATCAGGATAATTGTCAAAACGATCTTTTTTTCCAGACGGATGTTCCGAGAAAAAACGCGCGATCTTCCTCCATTGTCCTGTTGCAGGAACGTGACGTTTCTTGAATATCGGCGGAATTCAATGTATGTCGCTGCGTTTACAGCGCAAAGTACTGACAGTGGAGCCGTAGACTGAAGATGAAGATCCACTGTGTGGAGTATTTCCTCTGATGTACCCACTGAGTGCCATGCTTCAAACACCCCACAAAAGAGCCATATCAAAATGTTACATATGACGACCTTTCGTACTGTTATGAGCGCCCTATACTTCCAAATAAGCTTTATAGCCAGAAATCTATCCACTGATAACGCCACGACAGTTGAAATTGATATTTTGGTGCTAATATGAGAAGAAACAGTAGAAATCTTGTGTAGGTTTGGTAAATTGACTTTACATGGAAGGCAAAGCATGTATGTTGAGTACAAAGGTTGCGCGAAACTTCCTCCAAGTAAATCACTTAACGAGAGGCTTGCCACGAAAAAAGTTGTGGGGCGCACTCGGAAATACATGTACGGATCTTTGAAAAGAGTCCATAGAAGAACACTGTTTGTTGTGAATGAAGCGAAGCCAAGCAAAGCGCTACAAATTCCTGCCAAAAGCGCGACTGATGCTGTTGGAATTACCTCAAAATGTCCGTGTTCATCGTGATGTGATTCAGCAGCCTCGTTCATGATTAACACCAAAGGAGACTGCTCAAGCTTGTAGGTAGAAACTCTTGATTTGATGATTAATATGGCTGAAGATGACTAATGAATCGCGTGGTCACATGAGAGGCAAATTGTTTTGAAGCTGGCTAGTATTTCTTAACTTACGACACCTTTCCTGAAAGCCAAACTTGAGTATCTAATTTGATCGCGCAACACCAAGAACAGTTTTATCGATGCAATATTTCAAAACATCGTGTGAAACAGGGCTGAAAATCCTTCTCTCCTGTCCCTATTGTGACTAATGTACGTAAGTTACTTGGTAAGTACACGAATTGACGAAGGTTCTATTACAACAATGGTTCCTCCTGATGAATATGACATCGTTTGCATTAAATATTTGGACAAAATTCTGTTCCCAGGATAAGAATGGACAGTCATTGAAAAACTTTCCTGAATTACTTGAAGAAGAAACTCATTAAAATTCGAGTCATTTTACTTAAGGGCTGACATCACTTAAGCTCCCTTGTCCAATCGAGTGTCCGTTGCGAAGCTGATGACTATTAAAAAAGTTATCAACAGATAATATGAAAACAGCCGAGATAGTAAAAGGAAATTTACACTAGAATATTCATTCTAGGGCAGAGCTTAAAACAATTATTTTAATTATAATCTTGGATTAAAAGGATAGCAAAACTCACGTAAACAGGCGCACCACAGTAGTTCTATTAACTGCTCTCCTCAAACTCAACCTGAAAACAGATTTCGGTACGAGACTATGATATGGTTCTTTTTAAGTTGGTGCGTTTCACAAGCTGACCTAAAAAAGCCATTCATCTGACATACCCTTTTTAATATTTATGAAACATTTGCTTATCTATGTCGATCTTTTTTAATAAAGCATTTTTAAAGGATGGTGAGGTTGACTCTCAAAAAAAGACAACATTAAATAAAAAAAAACAACAACAACAACTGCCGACTTCTACATGGCCCCGCTCTAGACATTTTTTATTAACTACGCAGAAACTGAGTCAATCGAAACCATCTGTTTCTTAAAAGGAAACCATGCCAATAGAAAGGACGCAATCATAGGTGTAATTGAGTGTTTTTTATTTTGTGCGAGTCCTTCCATAATATCAACTTTTATTGGCTGTAAACTGCGAAAATCTCCCTCAAATCGTCTTCATTCGCACTTCATTCTTGTCCTTTATTTGTTAAATGTAAGATTATCTCTGGATTAGTTTCCTCATTTTGCGTCATTTACAAAATCACTCAGAATTGATCTCCAATAGCAAACAATTGAGCAGAATCTAAAGCTCACAACAGGCGTTCATTAGCATTTAAAATATCCGATATAAAACCTTTATTATTTTCATTGACCGAGCTAAAATTGCTGAAAAAGTGGAAACATTAACCAAACACATGGATACTAATCAATCAACGATGGAAGGAAGAAAATAAATATAACTTTCGAGATAACTTGTGAAAGGTTTTTGTTTGCCAGTTATACCTTTCTCCCTTTTTTGTCATTTGAATGTTTCATGAAGATCGAAACTATAGCAGCAAATTTTAATTTTTATGCCAATAACTTTCTGCTTCTCTGGCTGACCGTTCGAAATAGAAGGAAATATGTATTTTGAAGGTTCTTTTTTCCTGCCTTCTATGCTATTCAAAACCTTCTTTCAAAGCGGGGATAACTATAGCAGCCATGACTCCGTCGTGCCGGCTTCGATTTAGAACTGAGCTTCACGCGTATGCACGACGTGTATACCATAACAATTTTGAATACTGAGGACATTTTGAAATGAAATAATATTATTTTTGTTTTCGGCGGGAAGTGATCAACTGATGTTTTAATCCTGGTTGATACGTCTTTCATTATTTTGTAAAAGCTGGATCTGCTAACGACATAACGATCATATCATAATTATATGGAGA